CCGTGAGATCATGACCTGAGCTGAAGTCGGACGCTCAACCCACTGAGCCACCCAGGTGCCCCTGCTTTACGCATTTCATCCCCGCCCCCCCCACCTGCCTGTTGCCTCTGGTGACCACCAATCTGTTCTTTTTATCTGTATCTTTTTTCATTTTTTTGTTTTGTTTTTAGATTCTGCACATAAGTGACATCCTATAGTACTTGTCTTTCTCTGACATATTTCACTTAGCAGAGTACTCTCAGAGTCCATCCATATTGTTGCAAATGGAGACATTCATTTTTATGGCTGAATGGTATCCCACTCTGTGTATATGCGTGTGTGTGTGTATGTATACGTATATATGCACACACACCATATTTTCTTCATACCCTTCTTAAAGAATTATGTAAATTTCAGGCCCCTTAAAACTCAGTTTTGTCCCTGGCCTCAGGCGCCTTCTCTTAAATAAATGGGGCCATAATATCTACTGTAGGGAATTTATTTTAGTCCATTCGGATGGCTATGACAATATCAAAGAGTGGGGTGGCTTATAAACAACAGAAACTTATGTTTTTCATAGTTCTGGAGGCTGGGAAGTCCGAGATCAAGGTGCTTGTAGATTCCATGTCTGGTGAGGGTATCTTCCTGGCTCACAGATGGCATTTTCTTGGTATGTCCTCACATGGTCAAAGGGGTAATGGGTGTCTAGGGTCTCTTACAAGGGTGTTAACTCCATTCATGAGAGCTCCTCCCTTATGACCTAGTCACCTCTCAAGTGCTCTACCTCCAAAGGTCATCACACCGAAGGCGGGGATTTCAATATATGAATTTGGGAGAAACAAAACATTCAATTTGTAGCAGAGTTATTATGAGGATTAATTCCCATAATTAACATTTGTAAGGTTTTAGGATGGAGTCAATGCCCTGCCTGCCTACTAATCACAAGTTAGGCGGTGACGGCCCTGTTGCAGAAGAGGAAATTGAGGCACAGAGAGGCCAGTTGACCTGCCTGAGTCACACAGCCAGTGGGTAGCAGAAGCAGGATTTCAAAGCAGTTTGCCCAGACCCTCAGTGCTGTCTGGTCTCTACAGCCAATTCACTGTGTTGTCTGAAGCCAACCCTTCATGCCTTCTTGAGCCTCATTTTCTTCATCTGTAAAATGGGGATGGTGGGCTTGCAGTATGACAAGGTCTGGAAGGTGATGAGGCCAGGACGGGCCTGCTGTATAGTTAGAACTCAGTGAATGGCCTGGGTCGTGGTCCTTATTATCTTCTGACTCCCCGGAGTCCCGCACCAGACTGTGGCAAACCACCCTATTCCCCCCATACCTCCTCACCTGCCCCTGGGATGCCTGCATCTCCTAGGGAGGCTGATTCTGCCTCTTCTACCTCCTTCAGGCTCCTGGGAGGCTGGGCGGCCCTGGAATCCCTGCTCCTGGGAGGCTCATCCACGAGAGCCTGCCTGCCTGCCTGCCTCCTCTCCCTTTTTGCTTACCGTGTGTGCAAGCCTCCCAGTCCTAGGCACCAGGGGCTTGGGTCGGGAGGCACTTGCCTTGGAGTTGTTGCCACAGTGTCTCCTTAGGGCTCACTCTGGGGCAGACGGGGTATCTTTAAAATACATTTTTTTTTTAATGTTTATTTATTTTTGAAGGGGAGAGAGAGCGACCCCCCCGGGGGGGGGGGGGGCCCAGAGAGAGAGAGGGAGACACAGACTCCGAAGGAGGCTCCAGGCTCCAAGCCATCAGCCCATAGCCTGATGCTGGGCTCGAACTCACAGACCGTGAGATCATGACCTGAGCTGCAGTCGGACGCTGAACCGACTGAGCCACCCAGGCGCCCCTGGATGGGGTATTTTTTAATCGCACTTGACCCTCAGCCCCATCGGACTGCGGCCAGGGCCCGGTCTTAGCGCCGTGCTGGGGCATGTGCAGTGCCTGCCGTGGAGCAAGGGTGCAGTGCCTGAGGGAGGGAAGAGCAGTGGGCACGTGGCACCTGATCGCCTGACCCTTTACCAGTGTCCTGTTTGGGGGCAACCGGAATGGGGTGCTCGTCCACCCTGGGGCCGCAGGTGGGAAAGGGTGCTGGGGAAGGAGCCCAGCTGTTCAGGGCTGGCTTTGAGCTCAGGAGCCAGGGCAGGCCGACGGGGGGTTCACACGGGGCTTGGGCAGGAAGGGGGCTGGCCGGTTCCCAGCAAGGGTTGGCTGACGTTTTGGGGGACCCCAGTGAAGGAGTTTGGGCCTCTGGAGCACCCTCACTCTGGCCTCAGACCCACAGTCTCGGCAGGCACGTTCCTGCTGGGCGTAGGTGTGAGCTACCCCAAATCCATGCGCGCTGCTCTGTGGAGACCCGACCCTCACCCAAATCCGTTTTCCTCTCCAGCTCACCTGCCGCTGCCACTGAGAAGAAGGCCGTGTCACCGGCTCCTCCCATAAAGAGGTGGGAGCTGTCCAAGGACCAGCCTTACCTGTGACTGCACCCTGGGGCACCTGGCCCGGCCCTCAGGGCCACCTGAGGGCTTCCCCTCCTTGTATTCCCTCCGGGGAGACCGGGACCTGATTTATGACAAATACACCCTGCTCTCCGGTGTCACTTCTGTTTTTACTTTCGAAGCTACACACGGCTTCCGTGGATTTCCCGGTGAAGCTGGTGCTGAATCTCTGAACTCTGTCAGCACTCCAGAAGCAGGGGCGGGGATGGTGGTTCTTGAGCTTCGGGGTAACACGCCGGCGCTGGGCACAGGTCAGATGACACGGGGTCCAGGGGCAGGGCATCTAGAGTTGTCACCATCCCTTCCCTGAAGGCCTGGCTAACATAGCAGTGGGGTGGGTTCCAGGGCCTCTGGGTGTTTGGGGGGCACCGACTGAGGGACAGTGAGACGGAGCACAAACTCGCCATTAAGTACGTCAAGAGCTCCCGCAGCAGTTGCTTCTGGGGCCACAGGCCAGTACCCTCCCACCGCACGCCCCCTTCTGACCTTGACCGCCTTGCAGCTCCTGGGGTGGCAGAGAACAGCCGGGCAACTCACAGGAAGGCTTGACGGGGGGCAGGCGAGGAGAGGCCTCCCCGAGCCAGAAACCCTTTCTGCACAGGCCCTGGGGAGGGAGGTGGAGTCAGCCTAGGGGAAGAAGGGGGGGTTGGTCCTAAGAGGAATGAGCAGTTGTGTGGAAGCCAGAAAAGAAGTAGCCCAAGTCCGGCTGCCCTGTGGAAGAACCCCACAACCCTTCCGTAGGGTAAGATCGGGTTGTTGAGAATGCCGTGTTCTCTGGAAGCATAGAGCAAGGCAGGGAAGGGGAACCGTCCCTGGCAGGAGGTATGTAGGGAGCCCCAGCGTGGACGACGCAGATGATAAATGCTCGAGGGGAGAAAACTGTGGCTGAAGCCAGGGGAGGCTTTCTAGAGGAGGTGGGACTCTAATTGGAGCAAAGGGGGAGTCCGATTCAGGAAGAAGATCAGGAAGGAGAGGAAGGCTGGGCAGTGTGTCCCGAGGCCACTGGGTAGGCAGCCCTGAGGGCTTCCGCAGAGGCAGGCTTTTAGGACACAGACTTGAAGTTTGGCAAGGGAGTGGGGGTGGGAAAGAAGCCTGACACCTCACCCTCCTGGCTGCTAGGTGCTGTCGTAAATGCTATCTGATCTCAGCTCCTTCCTGGCGCTATCCTGTGAGGTCATCGCTGTTGCCATACTCCCTGGACAGAAAAATAGGAACGGAAGGACCAGGAACTCGCTCAGGCTCACTGAACTCTGGCTTGAACCTGACAGGAGTCTGTGCCCAGCTGCTACAAATGGATGGCTTCTTCAGCTGTCATCCCTGCACCCCGGAGCCCTCTCGCCAGGAAGCCGAGCCTCTACTCTGGGGAATCTGGGAGGTTTTGAAACAACGACAACAAAAAACCCCAACATATGTTACACGCTCCAAAAGCAGCTAAAACCTTCAACATTTTCTCATACTGAATCATGCCAACAACCCGCAGAGCCCCTTGTAGGAAAATCTGGATGCTTTAGTGTTGCTTCATGGGGAATGGGGGGGGGGGGGGGAGGGGGCGGGGTAAATGCTTGCACCCCTGTCAACGCTGAGGTTCTGCTGGCAGTCCAACATGTTGCTTCTCCTGAAGGCAGAGCTGTAGATAAAATATTTATTTTCAAGACAACACAGCAGCTGATTGGATAGGAAGCCGGCAGACGGTTTGTATTTTCTGTGCCTTCTGGGTGAGCATGACCAGAGATAGCCCCAGGGCTGCCTTTGCGGATCTTGTTCCGGAAGAAAAACCCCCCACCTCTGGAGGAGGTGGGCTATGAAGACCGAATGAAGCGTGGTGGCCGTGAGTGAGCACACGCGTCTGGCCTAAGTGATCTTGGTGGCCATCTCTGTGGTTCCCAGAGTCAGCTCAGCGGGAGTGACCTCCCAGTAGGCACAGGTGACCTGGCTTTCATTTGTGAGCTCAGGTTCACACACTTAACCTATCCCTTCCTGAGTTCTCGCCCTATCTGGTCCCCCGCCTCACCGCGGAGTCCGTGCCTTTACAGGGACATCCAGGTGCGAGGACAGGACCCATGATAGAAGCCGGGCACTGGAAGCGTTTTATTCATTTATTCACGGAATATTTAAGAGCCTACTATTGTGGCAGACCCTTCTAGGCACTGAGGATACAGCGAGCAACCCAGCATTCCAGTCCTACCGCTGACTTAGTAGTCGCCAGACCCTAAACTAGAGTATAGAAAGGCAGGAGGGAGAGGCTGCCATATTAAGTATGATAATTGGACAGTCACATTTGCTGTAGGATGCATGCGAAACATTTAATGTTGAGTAGACCCGACAAGTTCCTTTGCATCCCCATTAGCTTTTAACTTCGAATGGACCCAACACCTTTCGACATACCTTGTCACTGAGAAAAGTGTGTTAGAGCCTCAAATCGTGGGTGTCCCCATATTCGGACATTTACGGTGATCTTAGCCGCGGGCGCCGCGAGGACCTAGGGGCGTGGGCCCCGCCCCCGTCCGCTGCGCGCGTGCGCTGGGATAAAAGCGAGGCCGGCCCGCGCGCGCCCAGTGCCAGGGCAGGGGCGGTGCGGCGAGCGGCTGCATGGCGCGGGGCGGAGCCCGGCGGACAGCGGCCCTGGGCCTGGTGCTGCGGCTGCTGCTCGGCTTCGGACTCGGCCTGGAGGCCGCGCCGACCCCAGTCCCGATCCCGTTCTTGGCCCACAGCCCAGGTGAGAGCTCTGCGCAGCCCGCGCGCGTGCCCCTCGGCGGTCCGACCCCACCCCGCGCGCCGGCGGCTCCTCGCCATTGGCTGTTTCGCTGGTCTGTCCCGGACACTCCCCCGGCACGTGGCTCGGGACTCTGGTGTGCGGTGAACCTGGCCTTTGAGAGCCAGCCGTCCCCAGCTGGGGACCCTCGCCTGGGTGGCTCTGCCTGCCTTTAACTACTCTGTTTCTACCCTGCCCACACCCCACTCCTGCTCGGCTTTGTCGGACCCCTTTGTCACCTCCAAGCCGACCTTCAGCCCAGCGTGGGCAGGAAGGCTTGTTGCAGGCTCTGGTTGTCCGACCTCTAGCCGTGCGTAGCCGGTCACCTGGCGCCTCTGGGAGCGGCTGCGCCTCCTAAATCCTCGCCAGACCCTGAGGCCATGTGGCTGAGTTTCCTGGGCCACCAGGCCCCCGCTCTCCCCCATCTCTGCACCTTTCTCTTCTGGCCTTAGAGAAGGAAAGGTTTTCCTCCCTCCCTGTCACCCCCAGGCCCCTGGACACATGCGCCTGGGCCTAAGTGATCTTGGTGGCCCTCTCTGAGGTTCCCAGAGTCAGTTTGGCGGGGAGTGACCTTCCCGTAGGCACAGGTGACCCTGGCTTTCAGCCTTGAGCGCAGATTCACACACTTAACCCATTCCTACCTGAGCTCTCACCTTATCTGTCCCCCGCCTCACCGAGGAGTCCCTACCTTTATAGGCTAAATCTTCCTGGTTCCTTTAAGGAGGCAGGACTCCCCTTAACCAAGTTCCAAACCCCACAACAAGTGGTTTCCTCTCCTCAGGACACTGAAGTGGGGACTCCTAGCAAACCCCTTTTACAGGGGAGGAAACTGAGTCACTGGTCGTGTCCCCTCCTGTCTGACCCCACGAGGCCTGGTCTGCTGTGCTCTGCCTCCCATTTTCCAGGAAGGCCAAGCACTCCAGGGAGGGAGGTGGGGGGTTGGCCGGGCCGAGAGCGGCCGGGCCTGGAAAGGAAGCCTCGCCCAGGGGCTGCCAGACCCCCAGGGGCAGGGAAGGAAGCTGGCTCCAGGTTGGCCACAGCTCTTCTGGGCTCCGCCACGCTTGGGGACTGTGTGGGCCACAGGTACCTTTGGGCCTGGAGGCCTGTGGAGCACTGGGTTTGGAGGCTGAGGCCCGTGAGTAAAGGTAGGGTTGGCAAGAAGGGCAGGATCGAATGGGGTGGGACCAGGCTGGGTCCAGGCCAGGTATTTGTCACCTGCCCTACTGCACCTGGGAGGGGAGCCTTCAAGGCCATTCCCTTCCTCTGTCGCTCAGACTCCCTCCTGCTGGCCCTGGCTCCAGGCCCTTCTGTGCTGCTCCAGCAGGTCAGCATGCAGCCTGAGCCTCCCTGCCTAGGGTCCCGGAAGGCCCAGATCTCGTCCGGACTCAGCCTGGACCCTTGTGTGACCTGTATCCACTTATTGTCAGCTGCTGCCCTGGACTTGCGGTCACAAGGTCCTGGCCCTGATCTCCACTGAGCGTCCTTACCATCTGTGTGGACACCAGTTTGAACACAGTTGTTCTAAGAGGCAGGTAGAGCTTCAGGCATCCGAGAGTCTCATGAAACCCCTCCCAGGAAAGCAGCTGAGATCTAAAGGTTGGGGAGGAATCACCAGTTGCAAAGTGAGGGCAGGAAAGGGTGCACTGGACCAAGGAACAGCACAGGCAAAGGCCCGGAGGGGGAAACAAACCAGGCCTCTTGGAGAACCTTGGGAAGGCCAGGACATAGGGTGCTGGATGAGGAAGAAGAATGAGGGTGAGGTTCAGGAAGCATTTTGTGCTGGGCCAGGCACTGGGGCCACACGGGAAAAATAGTGATTCGGTGCGAGAGGGTCAGGGGACCAGGGCACGATTTTGAGCAGAGGGGAGGCAAGGGTGGGTGATGGAATGATGGGCTTCTGTGAGGTCTCCAGTGTCCCGAGGGGGTGGGGCCTGGCTAGGAGGTGGCACATTTCAGATGGGGAAAGTGGTCGGATCCGGGCGGAATTTAGGAGGTGAGTGGATAGGCCCTGGTGATGAAGCAGGTCCTCTGCCCAGGGCCTCAGTTTCCCCTGTGCTGAGTAGGTGGGATACAACCTGCCCTGCTGACCTTGACCATGGGCGGGTCACGGATGGCCCCTACCCGAGCCTGTTTAACCATGGATCTTGGAGACACGCCTGGTAGACTTTTGGATCAGGGAGACCTGGGCTCAGACCTCGAAGCTGCCACCAGCTCGGCAGCCTGGGACCTTATCTCTCCTGGGTGTCTTCTGCACCATGGTGGGGGGGGGCAGTAGGACCTTTCCTGTGAACTGCTCCGCTGCAAGCCTCACACGTAGTGGGTCCTCAGCAAACGGTGGCCACCAGGGGCATTCCAGCGCCCTGGGACCTGGCCGGTCTCCTGGTGGTCAGTCTGTAACGTTGTGTCCCTGGCGGAGGCCAAGACTCGGGCCTCCCAGACCTCACTTGTGTGCGTCCTGCAGGCTCGTGCCCGCCCACCAATTTCCAGTGCCGCACCAGTGGCTTCTGCGTGCCCCTCCCTCTGCGTTGCGACGGCGACAAGGACTGTCCGGATGGCAGCGATGAGGAGGAGTGTGGTGAGTCGCCGCGCCCCCTGGGGGCGGGGCTTGAGGAGGCGGAGCCGCAGGAGGGGAGGTGCTTGTGGAAGGGGCGGGGCTTTCAGGCTGGCACGATGGGGCGGGGCCCGAGGGTGGACAGGGCTTACAGGGTCGCCGGATTGAGAAGAGGTGGGTTTCCTGGTAGGTGGGCTTAGTGGGGCCTTGGGAGGAGGGGCTTTCAGGGAGGCCGGTCCTTAGAAGGTCAAGCGAACAGGGAGACATCTTCAGGGTGGGTGGGTTTTACAGGGTCGCCTGTTCCTGGAAGGCAGGGGTCACCGGAGGCCGGGTGGAGGAGAGTACCCCAGCTCTCTTGGGTGGGTGTTTGGGACCTGACTGACCCTGCACCTCAGGCATCAAGCCTTGCGCCCGGGACGGACAGTGCCTGCCGCCCACTGGCAGCCCCTGCCCCTGTGACAGCATCGATGACTGCCCAGATGGCCTCGACCACACCGTTCACAACTGCAGTCGCCAGCCCTGCCCGGCCGGGGAGCTTCGCTGCGTGTGGGGCGGTGCCTGCATCCCCCGCACCTGGCTCTGCGACGGCCATCCCGACTGCCCTGCCTCCAGCGACGAGCTTGGCTGTGGTGGGTGCCCTGCGACCCCAGCGTGCCTGCGGGGTGGGGAGGGCCGGGCGTTAGATAAGGACACCTTCCGGTGGGTGACCAGGCTTGGGGTGTGGACACTCGGGTCTTCCCCGCGCCTGCACCCCCATGGGGGCAGCGGTGCTCACTGACCTTACTCATTCTGGGTTGGGAGATGATGCGCCCCAAGGTCCCTCCAGGCATTTGGGACACATGTAGTCCCTCCCTGCCCCTCATGCCCTCAGCGCCGACTCCCCAGCTACTGAATGTCTGGACTTCTTGCAGGAACCGAGACGCCCCAGGAAGGGAATGCCACAGCCATGGGGACCCCTGTGGCCCCGGGCACTGTCACCGATCTTGGGAATGCCACCGCCACCTCGTTTGGGGACCAGGACTCAGTCCAGTCTGGAAACCGAAGTGCTTGTGGGGTTATCGCTGCAGCCGGTAGGAAGACCGGGCCCTCCCGCTCCTGGGGGCAAGGGAAGGCTTGGGGAAGGGACGGGCTGGGCCGCAGACCCCCCTTCCCGGTGTGGGGGCTGTCACTGACTCCTGTCCGTCTGCCCCCCACAGTGGTGCTGAGCGCAGGTCTGGCTGCCATCTCCCTGTTCGTGTTGTCCCGGCTCTGGGCCCGGGGGCGCCTGAACCAGCTAGGGCTGCTGATGGTCGTGAAGGAGTCCCTGCTGCTGTCGGAGAGGAAGAGCTCGCTGCTCTGAGGACGAGCTGCCGCCACCGTGTCTCCCGGGCCCTGGGCACGGCCACTGCGGCCACATCAGCCCTCGGACGTGGCTTCTTCTGGCCATGCAGCACTGTGGACCTGAGCTCCTGCAGATGTGGCCCTGGAGGTCACGGGCACCTACACCCTCGCACAGATGCAGGAAGCCTGGCCCGGGAGCACATCGCAGCCGGAACCTAGGGGCTGGCCCCAAGCTGCTCCGGGGGATGGCCCCAACTAGACACTCCTGCTGCCTCTGTCTGAGGGTGGCGATTAAAGTTACTTCACATCCTCCGCCTGCCTCTGGGCTTCTGTCTCCCTCTGCCCGGGCAGCTCCGTTACAGCCCCTACTCCACAGTGGAGTGTCCTGAGAGGGTGGGACTTGGGGACCCAGCCCTGGGTGTTCCCTCGGCCGCTCTGCCTCTGGCTTTCTGGGATCCAGAGCAGGTGGCAGTGGGGCTGGGGCAGCCGGGTGGTCTGCATCACCCGCAGGCTCCCGCACAGAGGAGCGGGGCTTAGGCAGGGCCTCCGGGAGTCCTGGGGGACCGCCATCCATCATGGCTTCTTCCTCCTGGAGGTGTAAGCTGGGCACCTCAGGGTTGGTCTGGGCTCCACTCAGTTTTAAAATGTAGGAATGTGTGTGAGTAGGGGAGGGGCAGAGAGAGAGGGGGAGAGAGAGAATCCCAGGCAGGCTCCGTACTGTCGGCACAGAGTCCGATGTGGGTGTTGAACCCACAAACTGTAAGATCATGACCTGAGCTGAAACCAAGAGTGGGGTGCTTAACCATCTGAGCCACCCAGGTGCCCCAAAAGCGTAGGTTTTATTATCGTGCAGGTATGGTGCGGCCGACGGAACAGGAGACTGCCCTTGAAAAGATGAACGGTTCCCAAAAGGAGGCGGAACACCAGGGCCACACGGGGAAGGAGGCCTCAGCGTCCCGAGGGAGCTGGAGGAGAATGTGGGCAAGAACCTTTATTGTGGCTCCCTTGGGCAGGGGTGGGTGAGGCGAGGTAAGCAGGCCTGGGATTGGCTAGTTTGAGTAATGTCAGCGGGCTCTGGGGTAGGTGCTGTCTGTCACACAGGTCCCAGGCTATTGGCAGTGATGCCATGGGCTAGGAACGCCTGCGGCAGCCGCCGGGGGGGCCCGTGCTGTGCCCGTGAGCCCCCACAGGCATTTGCTGTCCGCAGCCAGTGCTGTCGCCGGGCCGGCCCTTGTGGCTCGCCTTATGATCGCAGGGCACACTTCAGCAAAGACTCTCCGGGAACTTTGAGGAAAGGGGGGTGATGACTCAAGTCCTGGAGGGAACGCGGGCCCACACAGCGAGATCACGGGTAAAGAGAGAGTGTGGACTGGGGGCTCTGCCTTTCTTAGGGTCCCAGGTGGGGATGCCCAGGGTTTTGTGGGGTCACCGTTACCCGTGAATTGAATGCGTAAGAACAAGAATGAGGGCAGGAGGGGAGAAGTGGGGTCGCTGGAAGAGCCGGTTACCTAGGTCACGCAGGGCTTTCTGAAAGAGGGAGCTTCGTTGAGTGGGGGCAGCCGAATTCCTTATCTGGCTGTGCTGTTCGTCACCGCGTCTTACAGCTGGCGATTCGTTTATTCCAGAGGGACGTGGGCACTCCAGGCTTAATACCAGGAACTGACAGTGCGCTGTCCTTAGCTGCCTGGCCCTGGCGTGATCAGGGCGGGGGGGACCCTGGCTCGGGGGATGGGCTCTGGACCGATTGCTTTGCGTGTGAAATGTGTGCCCTCCACTGGTGAGCTGTCTGCTCTCTCTGGGAACTGGCTAACCCCATGAGGGACCGTCCCTCCTGGTCAGCAAGGCTCCAGATGCCAAAGAACCAGGAGTACAGAAAATATAGACCAGACATACCCCGATCACTGGGTGTTGGCGACAAGGTTCTCCGATCCTCATTTTCCTTGTTTCCAAGTGGTGTGGCCAGAGCCCCTGTGGCCTCCTTGCGTGGAGGTGACCTTCCTGATATCCCTGGTGGCGGACTGGGTGTCTGCCACCAGCTGGGCCCATGCCACCCGCTGCTGGGAGAGCACCCGGGATCCCACACAGGGTCTTGGGGCTCCCACATTTGGCAGGCAGAGAGATGGCCCCTGGCCGTGAGATGCTGGGTGTAGGGGTAGAGGGCCGGAGCACCAGGAGGGCTTCCTGGGGGTGGTGAAGCTGGGCTTTGGGGCTCCACCCATCTCCCAGTGGGGGAAGGTGGTTGAGGTAGGTGTTGGGGTCTGGGCGTTGGGCAGGGGACGGGGGGCCCGAGTTCTCGGTCAGTGCCGGGGGGCAGCAGGAGTGCAGGCTTGGGAGGTGGGCTGCAGGTACAATAGTGGCCCCAGCCAGCGGTGGGGGTACAGGGTGCCCTGTCTCCTGGGGCCCAGGGCCTTGCCTCTGCACCTGCTGGAGCCAAGGTGAGCTGATGCAGAACCAAGTGCTTCTCCCAGGTGGCAGGAAGGAGTTCCACCGGAGGGTGGGATTTTCTTGTTTCTTGGTTTTTCTCCCTTTTGCTCAGGCAGGGTCAGCCTCAGTGGGTCAGGGGGCATGTAAGGGGGTTATGAGGCCGCTTGTCACACACCACTGGTGTCACTTAGTTATCAGTGGAGCAAACCATCCTGTGCTTGGGGACTCTGCCACCCCAGTGTGTTCTCGCTCGTGGCTGGCAGCTCTTTTGGGCCATCAGGAATGGTGGCTGTTGTCCTCTGCGGGCTGGGCTGGTTGGACATCACCACCTAGAGTTTCTCTGTCCCGTCTGGCGCCTTGGGATGGCCTGGCCAGCTGGGCCACTCCCTCTCCGTGTGGCTTTTCCATGTGGCCACCTGAACAGAACGGCCTTCTGTCTTTCGTGGCAACTCAGGGCTTGTCAAAGTGCAGAGCTGAAGCCACCAGACCTCCCGGCTCAGGCCGGGAACCAGGCCAGCATTCTCTTGCTTCCGCGGAGTCCCAGGTCAGCCCAGACGTACGTGGGGACCACACACGGGTGTGAACACGGGGGTGGGGCCCGGATGATGGTGCCATCCTTGCAGGGCAGCCCGTGCAGAGGGCACGAGCCGGGGACGGGGCAGGCGGGGGTGGGGGACTCCCTGTCCACCTGAGCCAGCTGATTCTCTGTGGGCCCGTGGCTCTGCTCTCAGGTACAGCTTTGTCATCTGCCCCCGGGGACAGTCACAGGTCCAGATGTCTGTCGCTGTGGGCACGCTGGGGTCTCAGCTGCCTTTGTTCCCCGGAGCAGGGCTCACACTGCTGTCCTGTGCGGCAAGCTCTGTGAGTCACTTCCGGGAACCTGTGGGAAGGGTCCAGGTTTTAAGGGCAGCCCGTGCAGAGGGCACGAGCCGGGGACGGGGCAGGCGGGGGTGGGGGACTCCCTGTCCACCTGAGCCAGCTGATTCTCTGTGG